TAATTCTGTTCTTTACTATAGTTTCAACCAATTTGCCCGGTACTTAAGTTAGGCTCACCAGCCTGTAACTGCCAAGATCACCTCTGGAGTTTTTTAAAAAAAAATTGGCATCACATAAGCTATTCCAGCCATCTGATACAGAAGCTGATTTAATCTTGTTGTTCTGCAATTTCACATTTGAGTTCCTTCAGAACGCTTGGGTGATACCATCTGGCCCTGGTGACTTATTACTGTTTAATTTATCAGTTGGTTCGAAAACCTCCTCTACTGACACCTCATTCTGAATGGCTCAAGTGTGGGAATCACCCTCACATCCTGCGCAATGAAGACCAATGCAAAGAATTCATTTAGCTTCTCTTCAATGGCCTCGTCTTGAGGGCTTCTTTAGCACCTTGATTGCTTACATTCCACTTCCACAATGTCTGTCAAAGTTGATAATTTACACACATGAAATATCTATTTGCAATTATTCACAACACAATCATATCATTTAAGGGAGAGAGTGTAAAACAGTTAGCAAATTCATGCTGACCGATGTTGTCTCATTGTTTGTTCGTACTCCCCTGTTGGTCTGCCTGTATACATCTGTTGTCTCATCTTATACTTAGATTGGAAGCTCTCTGTAGATCTCTCTTTTTGCTCTATGTTTGTACCGTGATTAGCACAATGGAGTCCTGCTCCATGACTGGGGCTGGTAGGTGCTCTGGTAATACACATAATGAATAATAATAATAAAAACATGCTAACGTGTGTGAAGGGAGGTCCAGGGGAATTCACACATTTATAGTCCCCTAGTAAAGAACTGGTGATTGGCTGAAGGGAGGGGTGTTGTTTACTCAGATGGCAAGTGACGGTTACTGCTGCAAACAGGAAAACTCCCGTGTTTGGAATTTTTTGTATTATTTATAGGTGAATTCAATCAACCTACAGCCACCAAACAAAACTGCTCCCTATGGTGAAAGAATGCTTTCCCTGTATTAGCATGACAGTGTCCGTTTCGAGCTACAGTATGAAAGTTGGTTCCGTATCATCTCTGCCCAATCTGTTGGAAAAAACAGAACACATATTGCAAAGTAAAGTATCTGAACCCCAACATTTCAGAGAGAAAACTGCTGTTAGCAAACAGAACCAGAACTCTATCACCCCAGTTTCAGGAGAAATCATATTAAAAACACTTCTGAACGGCTCACCCAAAATTTAAATGTAGACCCAGGTAGATGAAAGAAAAATATTTTGAGTGCGTTGATGTAAAGTACTGTTACTGAAATTTGATTAAAGGATCTAATAATTTAAGACCCAATGAAAGGTAATTAAAATTAAATTAAAATGGAATGGGTAAGGGAGGCTAAAAATCCTAAAATAATTTGAAATATTGTCATGATTTCTTTTTTAATTCACCACAGACTTTTTAATTTGATCATTCTCTGGGGCTTTGGGCCTGAGTGGCAAAGATATTTAGGTGTCTTATGATGCAGAGAGGTGTTCACTGAGATTGTCAAAAATGTCTAAGTGGGTTAGGCACTTAACTCCCATTGTCTTTCTGTAGGTGTTCGGTTCCTCACCTGCTGAGGCACTTCGGAAAATCTCAATAGGCACCTGTCTGCATCATTAGGCACCTAAATACCTTTTTCAATCTGGCCCAATAGCTAGCGCTACAGAATAAAAGAAAACAGAAACAAAACTAGCTGCAAAAGTGAAAGTGACCAGCCTCTTTCATTGGCTAATCAGAACCAACTTTGTGTAGCAGAAATATAAATACAAATATCACTAGCAATGAGAGACTGGCAAGGAACAGTTTCAAAACTTTATGGCAATGAACTGAATGCCAGTGAACTGTTCAATTAGCTGAATTCCCCCTGCATGGCTTTCAGCATGCATATATTATAACTGCCAAGGTAAGCAAACACCCCATTATTAACATTCCAACCTTTGAAAAAGACTCTTCCCTTTAGGAACGTTCTTTGATTTGCTTCCCAAGCCTACCCTGGAGGCCTTTTTATTTTAACCACCAATCTGTGTAACACTTAACATGTCCTACAGCATTTCCTTTTGGTAGGAGAGTCAATTCACAAGTGTCAGCTGGAAGGTCTTAACATAAAGAATGAAAGGTAGTGGGTAATTTCTCAGGTATAAATTATATGTTTAAGATCACAGACACACTTACACAGAATAAAAGGAAAGACCTCTTCTTTCTTTGTTTTATTAGCAGGTCATAATTGTAGCTCAAGAAAGAGGCAATCAACCCGCTCCGCCTCTCAAGTTACGCCTGTTGAAGAATTTACCGATCAGGAGGCTGTCTGGGATAGATGATTGTTAGTATTATAGTGGCACTCAAAGGTTCCAGTCAGGATTAGGGCCCTATTGTGCTATGTGCCAAACATACACGTAGACATGGTCATTGCCCCAAAGAGTCTAATTTGGATACATCACCAACTGCTGTGGAAGCCAAAGGAGTCTCTTCTTCTTGAGCATCAGAAAAGGACACAATCCCTCCTGAAGCAATGTGTTAAGGGAAGGCCTTCCCACTGTGGCGTTTGTTTGATTCTAAAATGTAAGCATCTCCTGCTGTTCCCTGGGCATCTCTAGATCTAGGTGTTTGAGGACACAGAAATCCCTATTTGAAGTTCAACTAAAGATGGGAAAAAAATAGCTTCCAAAAGAGGGCTGTGTTAGGAATTCCCCAAAGTGTAAAAGTTCCTCACTGGAGGCTGATGTTCTTTAGATCTGACCCATTAATCCAAACCAATTACTAGTAATAGTACTTAGCTCTTAGGTAGCACTTTTCAGCAGCAGATCTCAAAGTGCTCTGCAAAGGAGATCAATACCACTATCTCCACTTTACAGAGGGGGAAGGGACATGCCCAAGGTCACCAAGCAGGCTACTGGCAGAGCTGAGACCTAGCCCCAGCCCCCCAAGGTCTCCTTAGTCCCAGTCCAGTGCTCTGTTCGCTAAGCTACAGGAACTGAGAGCAGCTGTCCTGAAGCCAGTGGCATAGCTGGGGACTGAACCCATATATCCTGAGTCCCAGTCCAGTGCCTTAACCATAAGATTTCTGGATCAGACAGAGCAGGGACTACAGCCTGGGTCTCCCAATTCCCATGCCAGTGCCCTAACCACCAGGCTATCAAGTGTGACAGTCATTGTCCCAAAACCATTCTGACCTATTCTAGGCCCGATGCAAATGAGCCATACGCTCACGACAGCACAAATATATTGGTTAATTGTTACAGGAAACATGCTCACATCATATGCACGCTTTAGCACATGAAAAATTCAGCCCAGTAAAAGGACTGTAAGACATTCATGGCTGAAGAAATACTTTTGCACTTTATAATTTTACAAAGGTTTCTCTTTAAGAATCATCCTCAATGACCCGTATTCCCTCAGCACACATCTGTTATCTTAGGCACAATGTCATCAAACCTTCTCGTTCCGAAACAATTAGTGGCAGTCCCTTGTAAGAAAGGCATGAACCACTGATACTCGTAAAACAATTTAATATCAAATATGACAGAGCCAGCACAATTGCTTGATTCAGTCCACCATGTACAAGGCTGTAAGGAAGACACAACCACAGCTTTTTATAGTTGCAAATTTGAGCGGTTATCTGAAGCTGTACACCAAGTCGCAACACCACTCACTCGCGGGGTCACCACACCAACTGAAATTTGGCCCGGCCCCTCCTCCATCATGCTTGCCTTCAAAAACCCATCAGGACCCACAGCGTCTCTTCTGTACGGCTGTCCTGCTTTGGAAGGCATACTGCATGCTACACCAAAACTAGCCCTTTAACCAACTATGACTGCAACCTTTTAACCAGAAATCTTAGAGCCTTACTCACGTAGGAGACTGGAGTGTAAGATTGAGCTCAGAGCACTTGCAGCTTGACTTGGTAGGTCTGGGGGCATCACAGGTATGATACATTCATTCAGAAGGGAAGACAGTCTGCCTCACCCTGTACGTCACCTCTCCGCCAGCAGTGGGTTAAAACTTGGACTGAGAAAGTATTAGTGGCTGAGGAAGAACCCATTCTACAAGGATGTTTTGGAATCAGGCACTTTTCCCTCTACAATGTGTAGAAATATCATAGATCAAAATGTCCTCAACTCATATGATGATTAAGCTACAGTACATCTGTAGGGCTTAGCACATACAAATAGTCCAGAATCCAGAGAGGACCATAATAACCAGCAATAATATACTATAGTTTAGAATACATACTTCCAAGGTTTAGGTCAGGCGTACTGAGACCAGTGCAGAAGTACAAAAACATCCATCTGTTTGGCCACATGTTATGGGTGGGAGTAAGAGGAGGCATTGCCTGTTAATGACAGTTTAGCAGTGTACAGCTTTGTTCTGCTAGTTTAATTATTGCAGTCACCTTATTAGAAGATAGCTGATATTGCTTTGAAAATTCCCAAATGACAGACTAATTCTGACTGCTAACTTTCATATATTAATGTAATAGTTCTTCTGCAGATGGACTGGTGCTGTCCACCCTTCACTACATCAATTGTGTTCTAAAATGTCCAAATCACAAGGGCTATATATTTACATGTGTTTAAGTAAGGTGTTCAAGAGCTCAAAGATCACAAGCTGCCTGTGTATGAAAGATATAACTATCTCTATATTTATCTATCTTTATAGGGAGACATAGCAAAAGATACATAGATATATGGCTAGATATAAAAAGTTGAATTTGGTTGCAAGTTTCTTTCAGGTAATCTTTCTAGTATCTCTTGAGCTGAACCTCCTCTAAACCCCCTGAGGAATACCTCTTTAATCTCTGTGTTGTCACACTGGAAATATGCAAATTATCTGCAAGGATTTGTAAGTGGTTCGGGACTGCCTTTGCAGAACAGCAGCAAATCTTCAAAGCAGGGTAAATACAAATTCTGAGCTTCACACAAAATAAGATGAAAACAAAGGGGAGGGCAGTTCTCACAGAGGGCAGAACAGCAAACAGGCACCTGTTGTAAGAAGCAAATTATAACCTCACCTGTCTAATCCCTAAACGATATGCAAGGATGCGGTCCACAGCATCCGGGTTCATTTGAGTCCACTGCAGACTGTAGGAGTAAACACGGGGTCTGTTCTGCCAGAGGGGACTGTAGGTGTCGTAGTAGAACTCGGGGGCATAGGCTTTGCCTGCAGAATACAGACATACAAAAACACGGAATGATAAAACAGTTCTCAAAATAATGCTTCCATTTTTCAACTGCAATTTTTATTCAGCTGCTTACAGCACCATTTTGTGAAGGGCCCTTTTGCTACATGGCTTCAAAAAGCACATCTCAAGTCTATCTTTACATTTCTCACCACTTGAGAAAAAAATGGACTAAAATTGTTCATTTCTCCTTTGTTATTAAAAGTAATTCTCAAGTGTCATTTTTGGTCCAGGAGAAAATTGGTCTGCTAAATAAAAAAATCTTCTACAAAGAGGTCTTGCATGGCTAAAGTGACTGACATTGGATATTCAGACTATTATGCCTCCAGATCAGGGGTGGGCAAACTTTTTGGCCTGAGGGCCACATCGGGGAATAGAAATTGTATGGCTGGCTATGAATGCTCACAGAATTGGGGTTGGGGTGAAGGAGGGGGTGCGGGCTCTGGGGTGGGGCTGGGGATGAGGAGTTTGGGGTGTAGGAGGGTGCTCCGTGCTGGGATCAAGGAGTTCGGAGAGGGATCAGAGTTGGGGCAGGGGTGCGGGAAGGGGTTCAGGTTACGGCTGGAGGTGCAGGCTCTGGGGTGGGGCTGCAGATGAGAGGTTTGGGGTGCAGGAGGATGCTCTGTGCTGGGATCGAGGGGTTTGGGGAATGGGAAGGGGATCAGGGCTGGGATAGGGGTTGGGGCATCGGGAGAGGCTCAGGGGTGCAGGCTCCAAACGGCGCTTACCTCAAGTGGCTCCTGGAAGCAGTATCATGTCCCTTCTCCAGCCCCTACGGGTGGAGTGGCCCCCAACCCTTGGAGCGGGGCCATGCTGTGGCTTCCAGGAGCCGTGTGGTAAGGCTCCCCGACCTGGGGCCCCAGCTGGAGTGCTGGAGCGGGCCTTAGCCGTGTGGTGCAGCCCCCTGACCCAACATCCCAGTGAGAGCTCACGGGCCAGCTTAAAACGGCCCGCAGGCCGTAGTTTGCCCACCCCTGCTCCAGATTCTCTGTCAGAGCAAACACATTACCTCCAGCTACCACACACAACACAATCCGTTCCAAATGACATCATGCACCCCGATCTGGAAATACAATACCTCCATTCCATACTTCAGTCCTAGTCCCAGAAACGTCTGGTTATATCCACAGTACATTATTTAGATACATATGCAGATATTGCACAATAAACACAGAGTTGGACGTGGCATTTTGAAATGCACTGTGATATACCAATAGTTTACCATAGCGTATGAATTTTTGTTCCTTAAATTAGGAAAAGCCTAATATGATTTGCTGTCCATCTGATGAAATGATATCTGAGCTCTTATTAGGATGCAATTGCCTTAGGGTATTTCTTGACTCAAACACAGAAATGCCATTAACATCTTTACATGCAACTTATTTTCTCAGTGAAGGAGGCGATGCTTTGCTTACAATTAGAACTGGTTGGAGAAATTTGGAGAGAACCATAATTCTGTTGGAATATACATGTCTGTTGAAACTGAAATGCTTTGAAAAATCAGATCAATTTTGCTCAAATGTCATTTCAGACGAACACCTGCCTCCCAAAAGTCTGACAAAGTCAAAATCCGACGTTTCAGCATTTTCATAATGAAAAATTTCAATTTCTCTTTTTGAAAAGGGTGTAGATTCTCCATCACTGGCAATTTTTTAAATCAAGGTTCGATTTCTAAAAAAGATATGCCCTAGTTCAACCAAAAGTTATTTCAGGGAAGTTCGGTGGCCTGCATTGTACAGAAGGTCAGGCTACATGACCACAGTGGTCTCTGTGGGTCTTGGAATCTGCAAATTGATTTTTTGGTTTTGATTGTTCTGATTTTGTATTATAAAATAATACATTTAAAAAAGTCAAAATCAAAACAAAACAGTTTGATTTTTATAGAAGCCCCTTTTTTGATTGACAAAAATTGACTGATTTTTTAATGTTCCTTTATGGAGAATTTGAAAATTTACAATTTTCATTCCAATTAGGAATGAAGTCAAATTTTGAAATCTCAAAATACTTCATGAAATGGAACCTCTATCCTCTGCACAGCTCTGCTTACGATGTCAGCATTAGTATAGTTCTCAGACAAACAGAAATTGGTTGTGTTGGAATGAGAATTGTGACTCTTAAAACAACATTTCATTTTTATCAAAAGAAACATTAAACAGCCAAAAAGTTCAGGTAAAATTTGAAAAATAAACCCCTTCAAGTTTAACAAAGTTTTTGTCCAGGAATTTCCTCAAGTATTTAAGAAACTTTACAAAATGTTCCGAGACAGATTGCTAAACCATATAGTCTATGAAAGATTGAATGCGTTTGCATGTCGTGAAATATTAGTGTAGTGTAAACAACTGCAACTCTCATTGTGTGGATTAAAATCTCCGCTGGAGCCTGTGCTCAGAGGATGTAAGGGACCTTCATGGGGTTAGGTACTCCAAAACAGTCCATGAGAATTATTAGTCTTGGTGACCTGGTGCTCTTAGAAACCCTGTTCTAGGCCAGACCTTTCCAGGCCTTGTTTCCTGCTTCTGTCATCCTGATCTCCCTTCTTCTGTGTCCAAACCCACCGACATGTCAATGTTTGCAGACTGCGGCTGTGCACATTATCACATTCATATCAGATCTCACAGAGATTATAATGTGTGTTTTCAAAACCCTCTTTAATATCACCTTTGTCTAATTACCCACAAACATTATGAAAATTAAATGAAGTTGTAATCTGGTAGAAGACCACAGGTGAAATCCTAGCCTTACTGAAGTCAATGCATGTTTTACCATTGATTTTAATGGGACGAAGACTTCACTCAACATGGGCAACATTTCAGGCAGATTGGCTTGATTTTGGCCCGCCTGGGGAAGGGGAGGATCAAGACCAAGTTCACAACTGAAAATGAGTCGCAACTTAAATTATACAGAGAGAACTTCTAGCACTAATCATGTGTACCACAGCTAGCAACCTGTCCAAGCTAGTCTGCGGCTCAAGTTAGCCTGAAGGATATAGCCAGGGTGGGTAGGTTTTAGACATCTTGGTCTCTGAACCCAGCATAACCAAATGGAGCTTGAGGGTCAGGCATTTTCAGAGTGTGTCACTGTTATAAACAATGGATTAAGTAGTACGAAGGACTGAAGGAACTACAATACTGTGAAGGTATAATGCACTGGCCAAGCATGTACGGACATGTCTCCCTCTAGTAGCTGTCCCCTGCAAAGATGGTATACACTTATGACTATAGCACAGCTGACGGCGCTCTCCTTTCACTCTAGTGTTAGGGGCTTGTGCTTTAGACAAAGAGGGTCTTTGGCTTCATTACCACTCATAATCATAGTGCCCATCTATACAAATGGCCATCATTGCTACAGAGAGCCAGTAAGGTAGGGAAAAGTGAAAAAGGGAAATGAAATGGGAGATGAAAAAATATAATGAGAAAAGACAAAATCCTTTGGCCCAAACTACACTACACAAAACACGTAACCCTGATATTTATTTCAGCAATAACGATGAAGGCCCATGGCATTTCCTGAGGATTAATGACCCCCTGATGTGAAAGTGAGAGCTAGGAACCTCAATCAGTTCCCAGGGAAAGTTCCTAGGCTGGGGACATTATTGCTATCTCAAGTAGTTGCTGGAGGAAAAGTTTAGAACTAACTGTATGAAAAAGTCCCATATCTTTGTAATGTTCCATTCGGTTGGTGCCATGTTATGCCAGGGACAGACACATTTTTTTTGTTCAATATCTTCATAAATGATCTGGAGGATGGTGTGGATTGCACTCTCAGCAAATTTGCGGATGATACTAAACTGGGAGGAGTGGTAGATACGCTGGAGCGGAGGGATAGGATACAGAAGGACCTAGACAAATTGGAGGATTGGGCCAAAAGAAATCTGATGAGGTTCAATAAGGATAAGTGCAGGGTCCTGCACTTAGGACGGAAGAATCCAATGCACCACTACAGACTAGGGACCGAATGGCTAGGCAGCAGTTCTGCGGAAAAGGACCTAGGGGTGACAGTGGACGAGAAGCTGGATATGAGTCAGCGGTGTGCCCTTGTTGCCAAGAAGGCCAATGGCATTTTGGGATGTATAAGTAGGGGCATAGCGAGCAGATCGAGGGACGTGATCGTTCCCCTCTATTCGACATTGGTGAGGCCTCATCTGGAGTACTGTGTCCAGTTTTGGGCCCCACACTACAAGAAGGATGTGGATAAATTGGAGAGAGTCCAGCGAAGGGCAACAAAAATGATTAGGGGTCTGGAACACATGAGTTATGAGGAGAGGCTGAGGGAGCTGGGATTGTTTAGCCTGCAGAAGAGAAGAATGAGGGGGGATTTGATAGCTGCTTTCAACTACCTGAAAGGGGGTTCCAAAGAGGATGGCTCTAGACTGTTCTCAATGGTAGCAGATGACAGAACGAGGAGTAATGGTCTCAAGTTGCAGTGGGGGAGGTTTAGATTGGATATTAGGAAAAACTTTTTCACTAAGAGGTGGTGAAACACTGGAATGCGTTACCTAGGGAGGTGGTAGAATCTCCTTCCTTAGAGGTTTTTAAGGTCAGGCTTGACAAAGCCCTGGCTGGGATGATTTAACTGGGAATTGGTCCTGCTTCGAGCAGGGGGTTGGACTAGATGATCTTCTGGGGTCCCTTCCAACCCTGATATTCTATGATTCTAAATACATTGATGTTGCATATTGACCCTTTATTACTTGGGCTCATACTTATCTTTTAGAGGAAAAAGTCACATGGGAGTTTAAACACCTTTCCTGTGTCTACCTTTATTGAGTACATTTTTGCTGAACACAGATAATAATCTTCCCCACTCGACTGCAGATGACCATAATGGCATCTCCAGGGGCCTACAAAATGGGTACATTATCAGACTCTCGTCACAGTGTGGGTACTTGTGGAACATAGTCACCTTTTCATAGAATCATAGAATATAAGGGTTGGAAGGGACCCCAGAAGGTCATCTAGTCCAACCCCCTGCTCGAAGCAGG